CCAGGGAGCTGTCCAGATGGCTGCCTCCCCAGTCCTGCTGAAGAGACCCCTCCTGTGAATTAAATCCGTGGTTTCCATGCCCCTTGATTGCTATTCCAGACCCTCTTCCCATGAGTGGGGCTGGGCTCTGAGCCCTATTAGTGAGTCTGTGGTCTCTGGGCAAAACTCTCAGCCTCCCCAGAGAACTGCGATGTCTGCAAGAAGTGCAGCTTGCTTAACATGTCCAAGAGGCCTCTTATAAACTTCAGAGCAACAGGAACTGAGCAGCTTTAGAAACTCCTTCTCCCTTGGAGGTCTTCTGAAAACTGAAACATTTGATTCCCCATCAGCCCCGGTGCTAATCAGGCCGGATGCCAGACCAGGGGAATGAGGCCAGCCTCATCCCTTGTCCCTCCACCCAGTATCCACCGGGCCCTCCTTGGGGTTTCCCAGAGGCCCTTACCTGCCTTCCTTTTCTAACTGAGGTTTTTCTTCCGTTTTAAGTGTCTAGGCCTTTCCTTCCTTCACTTGATAGTTCCTTGAGTTATCAGAAAGAAGAGAAAGAAAAATTAAGAGGGTGAGACAGAGAGAATGGAGGAAGGTAGAGAAAGAATAGGGAGAGAGAAGGGAAAAAGAGTGAGGCTCAGAGACTCATTCTCTGGGATGGTGCTGGGAATTTGGGGGTTTCCTTGTAAAGCTCATTTCTATCTAAGTTAATGTGCAAATTGCCACCTATTGTGGCCACCTGCCCTGCCTGGCTCTGTGAGGTGGCACAGGGAGAGCACATAGCACACACTCAGAAAGCGTCACCCTTCTTCTCCCCTCCCCAGCCTTCCCCTGGGTCTATTTTCTCCCAAACCTTGGTGAAGCTCCTGGGACCATGCGTGGGAACAGTCATGTGTGTCTGGGCTGCCCACACTGTGGTGTTGAGATTTTCTTTGCTGACTCTAGTGGCATTTGAGGCAAACACCTTTAAAAGCCCCAAAGCAATGACCTTCCCTCCCTGTGGCATACTGTGTGCTTGCACTGAGCTCTTGAGTGCATCAGCCCTCGGGGCCTGCCCAGCACCTCTCAGGGCAGGGTGGATGAACAATGCCCCCCGACTCCCCTGCTCCCCCCTGCTCTGGGGCTGGCTCACCCTGAACTTGCTTGGTGAGAGGAGAGGTCCAGGATGCGGTGTACCTTTGGGACTGTTTGGTCCCCTCCTCCCTGTCCACTTCTCAAGTACAAATTCCCCAAATCTGCCAAGGGCACCATGGGAAACAAGACCATCCCTCACATTACCAGCACTGAACTTCTCAGGGTCGGGGCTGTACCTGTTCAAGAGGCTTAAACTAAAAGTTCACTTTTAAGATGTTTGTAATTCTATCAGGGGAAAATGCATATAACAGAGTAAAAACAGCGTACATGAGTGTATGTGTGTCTGCACGCATCATGGACTTTCAAGGTTCTCTCTAAGTGGTAGATTTGAGAGAGGTTTTATTCTCTAAGATGTTTTTCATTCTACATTGGCATTTACAAAAGGTGTCTACAATGAAATTTTTATAACCAGGAAAAAGGTTTTAAAAATAAACAATCTTTTAAGGATCATGATACTCAAGTAGCATTGAGCTTCTCTGGCTCCCCAGTGCCTTGGGTTGAGTCAGACAAGGGATTGTGGAGCAGGAGCCCACCTTCCTACCATCAGACTCCCTGTTCTAAATCTGGTCTCTGCAGAGAGCAAAACTAGCACACAGTTAGCTGCTGGCACTGTGGCCATGGCATGGAGTTTCCTGGAAACCTGGGCCCGTTGGTTTCTTAGTGAGCTGTGTGCAGGGACAGACTCTTTACACAAGAGGATGCTTCTGCATTGTCTTCCAGAGATCATGCAGGATGCTGTCCACATAACACAAGTAATCCCCTTCAAATCAGCTGACTACAGCCTGGGGCAAAGTTGAACCTCTCCTGCATATGCAAAATGAACTAATGAAATGTGTACATCCTTGCTTATACTGCTAGGAAGCAGAGAGCTAGCTTCACAGCAGAGAGAACTTGCACAGCTTCAGCACATACGTGTGACTTTCTGATGTGTCTTCAAATATTAACCTAATACCCATCTTCTTTGCTCTTACCTACCCTTATCTTCCTTTGCCCTGACCTTCCCTTTCTCACTGCCTGTCTTTGTCTGTTTCTGCCTCTCTCCCCTTCCCTCCCCTTTGCAGTCTCTCTCACCATCTTTTATCTCTGTCTCTCTCTGTCTCTCTTCCTCCTTCCCTCTTTCCTTTGTGCTGTGTGCATGTCCCCTCTCCCTCCCTACTCCCCACCCATATGTCTGTCTCTGTCTCTCCTTCACACACACACTACACCACACACACACACACACACACACACACACACATGTCTTTCCCATTTGCATCCCCTTTTTATGGCACCTATTTTTATAAAGCCACCTCAGGTCATTTATAAGCTGAGGCAAAATATCTGTGAACACAGGGGAACTGAGCTGTGGCCTTGAGTGCACTCCTCCCCCGTCAGTCAGGGAGAAGAGCATTCCCTAAAGACAGACCCAGAGTTTTTCTTTTACTGTATATCTACTGACCTGATGTTTTACCACAAAGAATGTCTGCAGACTGCAGGCTTTAGTATCACACAGGATTTTGAAGAGTGGAAAATGATCAGCTCCAGAAAAGACCCCTTTCGGGACCCCTGTCATTTTAATTTTTCTAACAGGCATTTTGTCTCTATCCTTTGTTTCCTGTGTAATACAGCCTGTGTTTCAAGTGTCAGTGTGCATCAGAATGCCTGGAGGGCAAATGGTACCATCTATCCATTCTATTTCAATAAATCTGACTTTTAAAAAGTCACCTGGAGAGCTTGTCATGCACATTCCTGGGCCACACCCCAGAGATCCTAATTCAGTAGGTCTGGGGTGAGACCCACAAACTTAGCTTTCTGACACGCCTGCAGGGAGGTGAAGCTGCTGGTGCAGAGCACACTTTGCAGAACCGGCTCTAAGCCCTGAGACTTCCACTAGCCTCTCGGAGGTGGCTGTCTAAATGGCCTTTTGTGGAGCGTATCAAAAGCCTTCTCAATGTCTAAATCAAATTAGACCCACTAATCTCCAGCCCCTTCATCTCTCCATATTTGCTCCTTGATGAGTTTAGTGAGCACAGAGAAGCCAGTTATCTGAAGTATGCAGATCCTTCCAGTCTCAACTTAACATCCAGTGTCGGTGAGTGGCCAAGCCCATTCGCCAACCAGCCAGGCCTGGGACTCGCAGGGCAGCCTGGGCAGTTGGACCCCACATCCCAGAGGCTGCTGCTGGACAGGGACATGCCGCAGCCAGGAGCAAGGCCAGCATCCTGGGTCCACATCTCCACTTGGCTTTGGGCTTCTGTGCTGCCCTCTCATGTGAAAGTAACTATCATTAGGAACTGAAGGGGACACTTGGACTTTGAGTCACATCACTCTGAATTTAAGGGGTGGGGGGAGAGTGCATACTACAGTGGTCCTATCACATGTGGGGATTCATTGGCATCTTGGGAGTGTTAGTGATAACAGGAGAAGAGCTCGTAGCTGAGGGCTATGTGCCAGGACACTTGGAGTATGACACTTAAGACGCTTTGCCTCATCCAGCCTCAGAGCCACGCATGAGGCAGGTGGACTCCCATCTTACAGAGACAAAAGCAGGCTAGAAGGCTGCAACTACTCCATCCGGGTGGGACAGACAGGATTCACATCCATGGCTCTCTGCCTCCTAAGCCCATGCTTTTACCCCTAAGTGCTCTCTCACCTTCAACATCAAGGATTCTGTTATAATTTTAGCTTCTAGAATTATGAGATTTCCAAAATCCTGATACTTCTAGAAGCAATTCATGAATAGAGGGGCAGTGATGTGAGTTTAATATTTAGTGGTGGTCCAAAATCCCACAGTATGAAATGGTCTGATGTTCCTCAAAGAGCGCCAAGGAATTTTTTTTCCAGAAAATAAGTAGGAAATACTTATCCCCAAATACTGAAACACAAACCTAGGAGGACCTTTTGAAAGAAGCCATAGGAACTTCAGGCCATCTTGAAATAGCTTCCCACTGTGTCTCAAGTGTTATTTGGACAAAACAAGTCTGCTGGTCTGTAATAAAATAAAAATGATGCCCTTTGGGCTGGTCAGCAGGTCTGTACATGTGTTGTTCCTACAATGCTACTAGCTGCTATTTTTTTCCTGTCTGAAGCCAAGGAAGAAAAACCCTGAGAGGTTTGGTGATGTCCCACGCTCTTGAGAGTCACTGGTGCCTGGGCAATGAGTAGCACCCGCCTGTGTGCCCTGCCCTGCTGCCTGCCCCTCATGGCTATCCCAGAATCTCCTGTGCTGCTCTCGGACGGACTCTGTGCTCAAAGTCATCTTCATGGCGTGATCACTCCTAACCCAGTCACCCCAGAGAAGCCCTGCTACCTTTTTCATTCTATCCTTCTGAGACATCTTCATGTCTAAATTTTGTCTGTTTATTTGCTTATGGAGAATCTTATTCTACAGAACATACTGGAAAGTCACCTGTTTCACTGACAATACTATATTGCGGACACCTTTTGGCATCATTAACTATTCTTCCTTGGCATCAGTTTAATAGTTACAAAGTACTCTTTTGTACCTTTCCTCTGGTCTCTTGCCTTTAAAATGGATTTTTATGAAGGCTGTCTTTACAAAATGATCACCATCAATTTGCAAAAGTAAAATTAGGTCATTCTTGAGCAATAGGCTTAAATAGTAAGATTGTTATGATAAACTCTGAATTATCACATCTTTTGGAGAGATTGTTTTGTTTTCTACAAATGTAAATAACTAAAGCCCAGCTGGAAAGTGCACAATGCAGGCATCTCCAGTCCTGGACCGGCACTTAGGAAATGAATGAGAGCTGAGGAGGAGATGCTCTAGGGACCAGAGATCTCGCCATCAGGGCTCCACCCCTCCTTGACTGGTGGGGTGGGGGTCTGTGGGCATGTCTCACTATCCCGTGGATCTGACCAAATGTCTTTTCTCTCTCCAGCCGACCCGCCTGTGGCCGCCGCTGTGGTGTTCCATTTTAATGAATGCCCAGATTCCCACAGTCAGTTCTGCTTCCATGGAACCTGCAGGTTTTTGGTGCAGGAGGACAAGCCAGCATGTGTGTAAGTTACCCCAGTGTCCTGTGGCCCTGTGGCTGGGGGACATCCCAACAGCCAATTAAAAGAGCATTTACCTCTACAGGCCGTGCCAGAGGCCCTCAAGAACTCAGGAGTCAGATGTGTTAGATAGAACAACAGGCTGAGGGGTGCCTGCTTTAAACCAAGCTGGTTAGAAATTCAGATTCCAGGGCCCTGGGAGTTGGACCCTGGGGATCTGCATTTTAAACAAGCACCTCAGGCAACTTCTGGGTTCAGCAAATTCTGCAAATTCCTGAATTTGAGTTTAATTCATTACTTAGAATTTTTGGAAGGCAAGACAGTGGATTGGATCCCTCTGAGTAGCCAGTGTCTCTAATATGAAGTCTCTGTCCTCCAGCGATTTACAGTACAGCTAATAAAAAAACCTGAAAGTGCGTGCAAAGGGTTGGTATATGTAAGTGGGAAGTGAAGAAAGAACAACTTGGAAATAAAGATGCATTCCAGGGCACAGTGGTTTCCACACCGGCCTAGAGGAGCCCCTTGGACCTTCTTAAGGTGTAGTTGAGCCCTACCCCAGCTACTCCATCTGAATCTCCAGGAATGGGACCCAGGAGTCATAGTAGTTAAGAGCCACCAGTGATTGCCACAGTTGGCCAGACTGGAGGAGAAAGGCACGTGAGGAAAGCTTCCCCACACAAGTGTTAGGGTTTGGCCAGTGGGGAGAGCAGAGAGGTCACTCCAGGCCTGGGGTGGCAGGAGACTCCCCCATGACAGGTCAGTGCTGCACAGCAGGGAGGAGACGAGATGGAGACAAATCAGAGGCCAGAGCCTGTTGGAAGCGAGGCTGTATTCTCTAAGCAGTGGGAGCCATGTTGATTTTGGAAAGGATGTTTTAAGAAAATTAATCTGTCCACAGTAGAGTACTGTTAGATGGCCATAGACTCAACCCTGGCACCAGTGACATTTAGGGCTGGATAATCCTTTGTTGTGGGACTCTTCTGTGCATTGAAGGACATTAGCAGCATCCCTGGCTCCTACCCACCAGATGCCAATAGCATTACCACCCCACGGTCATAACAATCAAAAATGTCTCCAAACATTACCCAAGATCCCCTAGTGGGGGGGAGCTGAAATTGTCTCCTACCCCTGTTAAAAACCACCTGTCTATGTGAAGTTGCATTTTTACAGGTCAAAATGATTGGAAGTCAGCAATTTCATATGGCACAACCTAATACATAAATAATACTAAATAAAGGCTGGCACTTACTGAGCCTTTGCTTCATGCTCATACTATTGCAAGCACAAGCCATGTGTTAACTATGTAAACCCCAAAATGACCCCATGAGGTAAGCACAGAGAGATTGTGCCCCCATCACACAGCAGAGCTTACATTCAAACCCAGACTGTCTGGCTCCTGAAGCTAAGTTCTTAATCATGATGCTTACTCGTAGCAGATGCATTTGCCCAAGACAAATTGGGGACCAGGAGAGTCTGCCACAGTAAATGGTGGTGAGTAGGGCTTTCCTCTTCCTGAACAGCTGGGGGAGCCTGAGGGCGCCTCTGAGTCTCACCTGCAGAGGTGCACTCCACCCTCCTCTGGGAGGCCCCGGGTCAGGTCTGCAAAATAAGAGCTCTCCCCACCCAGGTAACACAAAGCCCAAGGACAGTAGTCACTGCCATTATTCATGATTATCATTCTTAATAAAACATACATGGGGGCCCCTGGAGGACTGCTGGGATTGTTTTTGTTAGTAGCCATCACTGTGGAAAAACACCACCCTAAAGGAAGTGTGGCCTCTTGGCCCAGATATCGGACCATCTCCCCTGGATGCCTCCCAGTACAGCAGGCAGGAGGCTTCTCCACCACCCACCCCTTAGCAGTGCCGGTGCCGGGCCAGGGCCTCAGCTGTACCCAGCTGTGTGGGGAGGATCCCCTTAGGAGAGAGAGGACAAGTCTTTGCTGAGTTTCGAGTGAAATTTCTTCCTCAGCTGCCTTCCCTTCCAGATCAGGAGCCAGTGTAAACTATCTGAGAGCTGGCAGCCCCAAGCTCAGGTCATCAGCTGAGCCAAAGCAATAACCTTATCTGCGGCTGAGACCCTCATCAACTAGTGGAAGCCTCCGCAAAGTCTCCTCAGTCCAGATCCCAAGCCCTGCTCTTGGCTCAGGGAGATAAGTGTCCATTACATTTACACAGCGTTACATTTTGGTAATCGGGATGACTGGCTATCTCTCCCCCATTCACATTAAAACATTACTATTAATAATAATAGTAAGCTCTCAATAAAAGTTGTAGCAATGTGCCAGGCACAGCTCTCAGCACTCCACATATGGTGACCCATGGGGTTCTCATAGCTCCCCCCTCAAGTAGGGATTCTTGCCCTTATTGTATAAATGAGAAAACAACTGGATCAGAGAAGTTAAGTAATTTGCACAGAGTCCCAGAGCTAATCAATGGCAGAGCTGGCCTTCAGTTCAATCAGTTTCAACCTCAAAACCCGTGTTCTCCACTCTGCCCCCAAGGGCATGCTACCTTAGCCCGGAATAGTGCAGCTCTGTTAAAAAAGAAACAACAGGCCCAAAATGGAGTCACTTTTGCTAAGCTTATGTCACCAAACTGCAACTTAATTCCTAACCTAATTGCAGTTTCAACCTCTCCCAGTAAAGTAATATTTTCTGGTCAGTCAGGAATTTCCTGATCAGCAGGCATAATATAATCCTCCTGATAGACCCCTTCCATCCCCCAAAGAAAGATGAGGTAATATGCTTTCCCTGTCCCTGCCGTCTTCTGCCTATAAGTCTCCTTTTTGTTCAATTCTTCAAAACTCCTTTCTGTTTGCTAGGTGGGATGCTGCCTGATGCGTAAATCATTGAATAAAGCCAATTTGATCTTTTGATTTACTCAGGTGAATTTTATTTCTTAACACCCCAAATCAGTAAGCTCTTTTATTTCTGGAAAAGGTGTTTGCATGTTCCCCCTGCAGGTAAACTTTCCTCCAGAGAAAGGTCAGGGTCATTCCCAAGCCCACAGTCCTGACCACAGACTCTTGGAGTCCTTCCTGTGGGCCAAGTGCAGGATCTACAGAAACAGCCGTGACACCCTTGTGGTTTGGACAAGCTGGCCATCTGTGGGAATGCATGGCTATGCAAACAATCACCAGGTCTTTACCTCAGTTTCCCCAGTGGATCTTGGCAGCCCAGGGGTGGTAGTCAACCCACAGACATGTTTTGTGTGGTGGTAGCTGATAGTCCACATTTTCTTTGGTGGTTTAGTTAGTTAGCATTTTAGAAAGCAGGTTTCACAACTCTGTGGAGATGCCAGTTTCTCTTGAATAAGCTCAGAAGAGCAGCAGCACTGGGCCTGAACTCCTGATCGCACCATTCAGCCAGAACCTGGATGCACCTGCCCCACCCCCAGACAGGGCCAGCCCTCACCAACCCTCCGGTTTCCACCTCTCCTCACTGCTCCCCGACACTGAGGCCAGCATCAGTCCCTGATCACCCCCATGCCATCTCTGCTTGCACTAGCCCACTTTGCTCACTTCTCCCACCACATGAGCTTACAAGCATGGTGAGGACAGGACCATGCCTTACACCTTTTGTATTTACGGCACCTAGAAGAATGTTCTAATTAATTAATTCTCACTAGACCAGAAACTCAGTCTGCGCAGAGAAAGCAGAACATTCTGCTCTGGCTCTTAAGAACTGCGCCGGCTTTGGGTTGCTGACACACACTTTCTGGTCAGTAAAACTGACATACCTTGAATAAGGCCATGTCGGTCATGTGACCTAAGATTATAGTCTAAAAAGAGAGAGCTCTCTCTAAAATACTGTCATTCTTAAGATTTTTTCCCATAAGAACAATAGCCTTTAGGTTTCTGGAGATCTTATCATGATATATCACACTAAAATATGAAGTAAAGGAAAAAGCTAGTCAAAGGTCGTTTATCCTTAAACATTTATGCTTCAGATGAACCCCAGAATGTACTTTGGTCTCCCTTTTAAAAATCCCCTCTAGTACTCAACTACCTCAGAAAACAAACAGGAAAAGAATTTCCCAAGACAGTAAAGCTATAGAAATGTAAGGTTAGGACTTGTACATCCTTTTTGCCCTGGGGCAGATTCTGCAAACTGTTGGTCTGCTGCCTGCACAAACCTTCAAACACAGGAAAACAGTTGAAGGAAGCCACCCAGGTGACAAGTTTTAAGGGTTCCAGCTTCGGCAGCCAGTGGCAACTAGTTTGAAGTTTCTCACCTGTCCAGAACGGCCCTCAGTGACTGAACTCCCTGACTTAACTTTCCCACAGCAAAGTGTGAAAACAAATTGCTATCAGCCAAGGAAAACATTCCACATGGCCCTGGCCACAGTACATTCCAGCAGGATCGGAAAGAGTCAAACACCCAGAGAGAAGTGACTGCCATCAGTTCACCACCAGGCTGCCCAAGTGGCCAAGAATGTGCCTCCCAGGAGACCAGGCTTGGGGGCAGTTGTCTTGCGGGTGCTTGAACCACGTCATGGTTCTGTCACCTCAACAACCAGCGTGGGGGGTGGGGGGTTGTGAGGAAGGAGTTATGATGTCACTCCAACCACACGTTTGGAGAAAGTGTCTGTCCTCATTCTCTCTCTCAGAAACAGATACAGAGGGTCACACTCAGGGGAGGATAAAGCAGCAGTTGAAGGCATGGGTTTGGAGGTCAAACAGACCTGAGTAAATATCCAGGCAGACCTGAGTCTCTCATACAAGTATCTTTGCCTCATTAATGCTCAGTTTCTTTGGCATAAAATGGGGATTTCAGCACCTCACAGGATTGTAATGAGGACCTAGTGATCCTACCACCTGTAAAGGTGTTGCTGTCCAAGACAAGATCTGTTAGTGGCATAAATTAATTAAGTGCTACTTAAATTAGTTCACTTAATTAAAGTTTCATTTCTCAGGCTCACTGGCCACATCTCAAGTACTCAATACCTCTAGGTCATTGGTTGCTGCTGTGTTAGCACAAATAGACTATTTCCATCATCACAGCA